TTCCTCATTAAGCGTTCCAGCCACTTCATCCCAGCTATTACTCGTCTGTATAACATTGTACCTGTACCTCAGACTTCTGCCTTTTTGCTTACTACATGCCTGGTAAAGTTGGCCTTTGTTTGTTTGTCTGATTGGTTTCCTGACACCTGCCTTTTGATTCTGAGTAAAAACTCAACATTTTATCCCTACAGTACAGTAAAAACCTCTGTCAACAAGTTCTATTGAAAAATCTGAAAGATCAAAATTTAGCCCTGATCCTGACTCTATTATAGTCAGCAGCAAACTAAGCCAGTAAAGCTACACATACAACAATATCTTAAAACACCAGTGTCACCAAGCAGCAAACCTTGGCAGCGCCACGGACTATCTCTGAAAGGAGAAGTAACAGGGTGTATCCTGTATTCTGCCGAAATGTGACCATAGCTCTAGCCCCGAGAATCAGGTTCAGGATTTATGTCCAATGCTGATGTTCAGTGCTAGTGGAGGAAATAGTGTGACCTTTATGTGGCGAGGCGGGCGGTAAGGGTGGAGGTTGCCTTTTAATTATCTGTAAGCACCATCTTTCCCTAACCGTAACCACATTGTATGCAATGCGCAGATAAAGTAGAACCCAGAATTTTAACCTGTGTTTGTTGTAATTGGCACGAGTTTAAATACCACTTTCCTTTTCTTCTGACCTTTTGAAAAACTCAGTCCTTAGGATAATACTGAATTAATAACCCCTCCCCTCTTCCCTTCCTTGCAATAACTGGGCTTGCACATTTGATGAAGCTGAAGTGGTTGACTCCAAAGAGGTCTGACCTCTTGTTAGACCTCCTGTGCTAATACTGTTAAAATATTCCAGTAAGAGAAATCCTAATAGACTCATTTACGATTTGGGAGGGGTAGTGCTGCGTATGCCTGTCCACAGATAAAGAGAATCTGAGAATCCATTCAAGTAATAAAGAAGTAATGCCTCATTTTCTGTAGAGGACTTCTGAAATATGTCCTCAGTTCAAAATCGTTTCATAAAATGTGTCTTTTGAGCTGTTAAAGAGGACCCTCGGGGGTCTCCAGTACCTCAAACTGAATAAATCTTGACATTGACTGTAAACAAGGGTTTTGCAGAATCTTTCAATATCAACGTTCTTGCATGTCAATGTTGTAAGACCTCGTATTCTGGGTGTATCAGGACCAAATGGCAGTGACCCAAAACCACCATATACTCCCACAGAATCTCAACAGATACACAGTAACACGGTCGTAAGCCTCCTACAAAATACATGCAGACATAGTTTAGAGACCTCTCCATTATCTGTGAAAGTCAGACACTATTTAAACATTTTGGTCTAAGGTCATTGGCATTAGCAGTGCAATTGATTTTGACTGTTTTCTGAATACTCTATTTCTGCTTCTATGTGTTTAAAAAGCTCTTTACTACATTATGTGTTGGAAGTTCCCTTTGTAGGCAGTACATGACATTGAAACCACTGGAAACAATGACAATGTTTCGAGTTATTTGAAAGTTTAAAATGGCAAACATATGTTTGAGATTATTCCAAGGAGTTTCCCTGAACCAACATTGGGAAGTTATGTAATATCATCCCCTAGTGAAAAGTGTCTTTCTTACCCTCTCAGTATTCATGCAGAAACATTGAGACACTACCACATTCTTGTACTGTTAAGTATACAGTATTAATTTTACCAGTGTGATGAATACAAATCTGTGTGAAAAAGTGTTGATAAAAGCCAAACTGACCCCAATTTGCCTCCTCTAAACGCAACAAACTCATATGTGTGTGTGTGTATATAAGCTGTTTTATTCAAGATGTAAAAACAAACCTAAGCTTATTTACTTATGGAAAGTTAATGAGACCACATTCCAGTGTGTTTAAACTAAACTGATCTGCAGCAAGAATTATTTTCTGAACAAATATGCTCAAAGTATTTTACCTTAGGGATCTGTGTTTTCTACAGAGGTCTCTCAACTCAACCATCCCTTTCTCCTTCCTTCCCTCCACCTCTTAGCTTCAGGTCGGTTTACATGTGATACTGCAAATAAACTACACAGCGGGACAGAACAAACACACACATGCAAGCAACAAACACAAAATATTAGTGCTGAAACCATAGACAATTGACAATGAATCAATCTAAAACAATTCTGATAACTGACAAATTGTTTATTAATAGTCAATGCTAGCAGTTCTGTGAGGCTTTACTTATGGGCACAGCCCCATGCTAACATGTTCACATGTGCAATGCTAACATACTAATGCTAATGTTTACCATGTTCACCGCCTTAGTTTAGCGTGTTAGCATTCTAACATTTGCTAATAAGCACTAATAAAGTGCAGCTGAGGCTGATGGGAATGTGATTAGTTTTGCAGGAATTTGGTCATAAAGTATTGGAAACATTTATATTTTGACCTGGTGGTGGCACAAGATGAAAGCGTCTGTACTACAGTTCAATTATTGAGATATTTCACTTACTATCAAAATAGTACACTGACTAATATTGCCGTCCATAAAGCCATGGCACTAGCACAGCAAAAAAATATTTGAGGCTTGTTCCAGCCTCTTAAATGTGAGAATGTTCTGCTTGTTTCTGTTTTATATAATTGTTTATTGAATGTCTTTGGATTTTGGACTCTTGGTCTGACAAAACAAGCAATCTGAAGAGGTCGTTCTTGAGCTCTAGGCAACTGTGAAGGGCATTCTTCATTATTTTGACATTTTATTGACTAAACAATAAATTAAATAATTGAAGAAATATCAGTTAAATCAAGAGTCTGCTCTTGTCTCCTTCCCTGCTCTTGCCCTCAGTAAATCAGTTCATCAGTATCCATGACCTTGTCTGGTTGTATCCACAATGACGCTTTTGACGATCCAATCTTGGTCACCTGATTTCACTCAACTGCATCATATTACCCTGCGACATACTTACGTGCTATTACCCCTGTGTGGTTTTCAGACAGAACTTTCTAATTATAGTTGTTTAGTTGTCACAGGACACAAGGTCCTGCTAAGAGATCAGGTGATAGAGAGGTAGCAAAAAGGGGACAGTACAACTCATGTTAAAGCAGAGCTCAAGGCTGATTACAGGGCTAGTAGGGGGTTGAAAGTCTTGCTCCAAGGCACTTGGCCGTGTCTAACTAGTTTAGTTTTCTGAATAATCGATTAATAGGGAATTCTACTGATTTTGCACCTAAAGGCCAGTTGGAGGGGGAACTACTCAGCCTGTGAAAACAGTGGGAGGAGCCTGACAAAATAACGCCATGATGTCATAGTGACATGAGAGTTATACAGGTTCAAGCTTAAATCTTAACTTTTTTAACACAAAGTCTCAACAGAAACTGGAAGTTTGGAGATTGAAAGACATGGATGTTCACCAGGCAGGGAGGGCCTAGTGAAAAGATAATTGCATTATGGGAAATGTAGGTCTTAATAGAGGACTTAAGTTAAGATTTATGGCCTCTGCTGCTTCAGCTATAACTAGTCTTTTTTTAATCCCTCCACTTTATTTATGTGCAAACTAAACTGCTGAAGAATCCTTTTAAATGTTTAGTCTATAAAATGTCAAAAAATTGTGACAAAAGCAGTCAATCAGTGTGCCATACCATTTTATTTGATATGTTATTTAAAGGTCACCTGTGTAACAATTAGGGAGATCTATTGGCCGAAATGGAGTATAATATGCATAACTATGGTTTCATTAGTGTATAATCACCTTAATCGCTATGTTTTGGGTACCTTAGAATGAGCCTTTTCTATCTGCAGACGCCGCGGCTCACCTTCCATAGAGGCTGCCATGTTGTTTCTATATTAGCCCGGAACAGACAAACCAAACACTGCCTCTAGATACGAGACGCTTTTCATTACACTAACTTATGCTTCCTCGTGTCCTCTCTCAAATACTGTAAGGCTTTGAAATTGCTCTGTGGACATTGGTACCAGTCAGTTTGACAGATGATACAGCTGTGCAGCAGCAGCTGGTGTTGCTTACTCACACTGTGAGCAAGGATTTCTCAGGTTACGACTTCTCTGTCCTCGTGTCTCTCCCTCGCATCTCTCTCTCACATCCTCGCTGGGAGGAACTAAGACGCGAGGAAAGGAGGCGAGTGAGGGAAAACGAGGAGACACGTTAGCATAATGAAAAGCACCCAGGGCTGTTCAGGTTTTCTGCGTGAGGGAGTTGCAATCTGCATGTTTTGAAGAAGCCGGTGTGGAGTAGGAGCCTGGTCTGATTAGAGCCTATATACATAGAGAGAACACTTTGCACAACCTGCAGCAGAACCCTGGGCCCTCACCGACAGCAATTGTTTGTCTAAGTGGAATAAAACCAGTGTTGATTGGTGCCAGCCTTTCCTGTCCTACAACCCATTGACTCTGCAATAAACTACAGTTCAATGAAGTGGATTCTTCCGGTGTCTCACTGAGAGCACAGCTATAGTGTTAATCATTGTCCCTGGTTATCAGCCTGCCTCTGATAAAGTCCTGAACAACATTTTACACTGCAACTTCACCGCTAGATGCCACTAAATCCTTTCAAACACGTATGCAGTAATTAAAACTGCCACCTATTGATCAACTCCCCGATTATCCATTAATGTTTCAACGCCAGCGTCTGGAGTCAGAGCTGGGCATCTTGAACTTTCTCCTCTGTACGTGCCAAACGCTGAGAAAACTGACACCGACAGAACAGCTTATCACTGTGAGAATAGCAGCTTTCTCCAGACCCCAGGACCACTGATAAGCAAGCAGCTTCAAAAGTTATCAAACACACTCCACCAACATTGTCGCAAGCCCACTGAGGTGAGAGAGGTTTGCAACGTAGTGTGTGTGAAAACAGGTAACATGTTGTGTGTGTGTTTACATGATACAGTAGTAGTTTTTAGCTCAATGGGGTCTATTCTCGGAGCTCTTTCATGCTGTCCCCCTGATGTGCAAGTATGTGTGTGTGTGTGTGTGTTTGTGTGAGAGAGTGTGTGTTTTTGTGTGAGGAGGATATATATTCTCACACTGTCACCTGCTGCGATGCCTCAACTCAGATTGTGTACAAGTCTCAACCTCTGGCCCCCAGTCCAAAGAGAGGTCAGCCTTCATCTTCCTCTGCAGCTATAACAACATGCATGCTGGATTAATGAGAGATATTCCAAGTCTTAATATAGACTACATCAAAGCTGCAGGCTACATGCATTTAGACTGATATCACATATCAAGTGCAGCTATCAGTAAATGCCCCTTAGTGGCGCACTGCGACTTCGTGACCATTTGACCTTGTCACCGTTTTCTGCAGGAGCCCCCACCGGCTCCACAGAACCGGTTATAAACTAAACACCTGCATTAACAGAGTTGTCAAGCACAGAACAGCAACGTGCACTTTGTTGGCACACCTCCCTCCCTCCCTCCCTCCTCTATGGCTCAGTATTTTTGGGCAGGCTGTGTCAGCAGACTGAGCACCGTCCTTCACTTTCTACCACCGACACAAGAGAAACACACTTACCCTCACACAACTGGCCCCCGCGATGCCCTCACATGTGAGCAGCACGTCGCTTCGTGGGCAACAACGCTCATGCATTCATCTGTCTGTTTTTCTCTGCTCTCATTCAGCAGCAAAACTCAACGCTCCGCATTCATGCAGCTGGCACGGAGAGACGGGGCTGTGCGGTTGCAGGGGGGGATGAAGGGGAGGAGGATGGGGGGGGGGTCTCCGACTGGTCCAGATTCCGACAAATAGCAGGCCAGCTGGTTACTTTGGGATAATTTTTTTGCAAATAAGCCACCAGATTATAATCATTTTTTATTTTTTTTAAACGTGCGTCATGAGTTCCAGATACAGATACTGGGTCAGAGGGAGAGAGAGGACACAGTCAGAAGGTCTTTATTCATACAACAAATTACTGACTCTGCAACACCACCTCTACTGATCGTCCAATACAAGCCAAAGTACAGGAGATGTAACAAAACAGGGCCAGCTACAGGCCTTTGGTCCTAATGCAGCAGAGGGGACCATCTGTCACAACACATACCACTCACTCCTTTATTGATCAGCCATCAAGCAATCAGAACTATAAAGCAGTCAGAGCAACCCTGTCTCCTGTAAAGGACATTTCTGTGCTGTTAGTTTGTTTTGCCGGAGACATTTTGAGGGAGACGTAATCGTAGGAAAGTGGGTGCACAAAGCTCAGCACTTAAACACAGGTCCCGCATGTGGTTTATAGGCAATAAAAACACTTGGTTTAAAGTTAAAGAAATATAGTGGTTTTGATGAATTGTTGTTAAGGAAAACACACGGTTCAAGTCAGGGAATTTGCTTTTGGACGTTAAACCAAAACCAATGTTGTCAGTGTTCGTAATGTTACGTGACTAAACTTGCAAAAAAGCATTTTAACGAGTCTCAACTCGTGACCGCATTTATGTAACATAAGCAGTGTATTTTCCACACAAAGCACCAGAGATTGTGTATACAGCCTGAATTTAAACAGTGGTTCAATAAATAAAAAGAGACATGAGATGACTAACAATACGTACTGTGATAACTGAGAACAATGTCGACAATCAAACACATTCATAGAGTGCGGGCCAGTAAAGATAAAAGAGCTGCATCTTCTCTGGTGACGACGAGGCTGCAGGTGGACCATTGAAGCTATCTGAGGATAATCTGATGATCGTAGTGCTAATGAGGGAGGAAATGAGTTGTGCAATGCTCATTATTTTGCACGACAGAAACAGTTAAAGAGCAGCCTCAACCAGCTGATTGTTTTGCAGAATGCAGGAAGAAAGTCGGAAGAAAGAAAAACAAACAAATGAATCCGAAGAGGAGATTATTCTCCTACAGGAGACAAAAAAGACGTGAGAAAAATGTTTTATTTCACAAGCTTTAATCCCATTTTTAATTCATGTTCCTGCCTAAAATCATTTGGTAAACTACACTCTGAAAATAAGGCAACAGATGACAAGCGAGGCTTCACTTGATCCAGTAATCAGAGCTGTAAAGGACAAGTGTGCCGAGGTATGTGAGGAACCAACTGTGCAGCAGCAGCAGTGTCAGTCATTCTGCCTTTTAATAGCAGAGCTCCACAACGCATGAAAGGTCCAGCATTTGGTTTATAAATACTGGGATTAGCAATAGAAAGTAAACAATAAGGCAAATGTATCATCTGGTGTTCCTCAAGATTTTTCCAGAAAACAAACTGTCTTTGGATTTATCCCATGAATGTAAAACATCTAGTGCAGGAATGTAATTAGGCTCCAAAATAAAAACAGACATCCTGATCAGTGTTCCAGTATCCAGCCAATAAACTTCAGAAAACCCATTACTATTCATGTTCTTGCATTTTGTCAGATAGTGTTTCCTCCCATCAACTCCCACATTAAAAACATTAAAATTATTAAACATATTTTTTACATTTTTGGCCCAGCAATTTATTAATTAAATTATTTCTGTGTTTGTCTGTGCATGTTTCAGCATCTACAGTGTGTCCACCAGATGTTGGCCGTCTTCCTCCACGTCAAACACACCCCATGGAAGATCATCCTGTCTCTCGCCCTCCATCCATTTCCTCTGCACCAGAGACTCCCTTGGATCGCTTCCATCCACACCTGGCTGCAGAGTTGGATTCCCCCTCACATGCTCCGGGCTTGCTGGGCGCTGTTGCGGAGGCTTCACTGGGTGGGTTGGCGAGTAACTCAATGACCCAGTTATGCAACCGAGGAGCAATGGAATTTCTGATGATTTGCTTAGTGCAGGTGAAATTCTTCAACAGCCTGTGGGTGCAAAATGTCACTTTTCACACACCCGGCACACATACAGAAGAATTACCAAACATAACCTCTCTTCTTGGGTTAATCTATGAGACACAGTCTGACCCACATAAAGAAAATCCCCACCAGTTCTTTTAACTTCACAGAAGATTAACCTCTTACCTTCTTTGTTTCAGAAAAGTATGTGGACATTTTCTCTAATTGCCATAGTCTGGGTCAAATACTGCTGCTAGTAGCCTACATACATAAGAATATACAGCACAGTGTGACAGCTACTTTGGTCTATGATTTAGCAGTGATTTGAACAGATCAGGCCAGCTGAAGATGTAGATTTGAGTGACTGAATCCCCATTAAGGCTAGACATGAGCTGACATGTGGGAAACTGTGATCCTGTTTCTTTAGGGGGGGGGGGTTACATAACCAGATTAGGGTAGTGGGTTTTAGTCTTGAGGGTCACTGAGGCCTGATTAGCTCTTTAGCTTTACAATCTAAAATCTGAATCGCCTGAAGCAGCTTCCCAAACACAGAGATTCCTGAATGAGCTCCTGTTCTGTTGGAGATTTCTAGGCCTCTTGGGAGCGATCCAAGTTGAGCTTTTAGGCCTTTATAGTTCTTTTATTGGACCAAAAAGTTATGGATGAATAACTCAAAACCTGGTGACTTTGTAAATGTAATGTTGCAGCTTAGGTAAAATCTTTGATCAGCACTGGACCGGCTCGAAAAAATCCAGAGCCTGGGGTTAAAACCATTGCTTGATAATAACGTTGTACCTTGCCAGTAACAAATACTTGTTGTGGGATAAAAACACAGTCAACAGGCAAAGAATATAATGTTTTATTTAATAATTTAGCCTCAAATAAGAGCTTTTTTGTAGGGGTTTGTAGGCGCCCTCGCTGACTTGTAGGATAGCTGGACAATAAAGACTCCTGCAGTGCCACCTACTGGTGAAACATATTCCTCACAGATCAGAAACAGATGTAATCTTAATGTATTGGTCAACAACTGTAACTTCTCCTGTGGGCACTTACAATTGGAGGCTGGTGTACAACTAAATTATAACACGTTACAAACCATTAATTAAATATTTATATCGAACTTATAAATACTAAATAAGAGAGGTTACAAAGATAAAGCAAGATCACAAGAATTCCACCACATTACACACAACCACAAGAAAACTGATGTAAATGTACAGCTGAAATATCCTATAGGTCCCACCACTGTCCCTCTACACCACTAAATGGGAAGGCCAGGGGACCTAGTGTCTCATCTCTCACTAAGGGTCCAAATTACCTGGAGAGAGAGACAGAAGTTAACATATTAAGTAAGTAATGTTTGTTAATACTTGTGAGATTGTGTCTGTGTGTAATACTTTGAGACCACACTTGACCATCAGACTTCAGGAATGCTTACTGTATCCAACCCCTCCTGTTAGTCAGACAGACCCTGTAGAGTGTAGTCTCTAAAACCACAAAAACGTTCCGATAGATAGTTAATGACTTTTGTTAAATCTCAAAGGAACAACTGGTAACCATAAATATTCACATGATGGTGTGTTTACAAAGTGCTTCAAAGAATTTAAACTCACCCGAACCATAATGTCAGGAAACATGTCTGTATTGGTTTTAGTCATTCATGAGGTTGATTCTTCCCAGAATCCCTGTCCCACTAGTAGTCTTATGTCAGCACTAAAAAAAATTTAACCTCATCTGAAGCATGAATGCAAATACTGTGTCTTTGACCACACTGAAATACTTCCTATAATAAAATAATGAATCAATTAATTATGTGTGTGTGTGTGTGTGTAATGGTAAATAGATGATCACAACTCAATTCTGCAGCTCTATGGTGCTTTTTAGCCTCTTTTAGCTAATCGTTTTAGTTACGTCCAAAAATGATGTTTGCTTCAGCTGTTACCTTGTTTCCCGGCACCAAAGGGCAGAGAATCAAAGTCAGCAAATACCTTATAAGCAAAGGGAAATATCTAGCAGCTAAAGAACCAGACAATAATGGCGGAGCCTGTAGTAATCCAACACGCACAACAGCAGCACCTACTACAGTTTTTCTTGATTGTTAGAACTCGCTTAATGAAACTGGGATTCACTTGACCTCCAGCGTCACCTTCTTAGCACATAACAAGTGTTCCCCTGCAAACGTGTTTTTAAAAACACTTTTTCATTGACTGAACACATTTTTCACTCACTTTTTCAAAACAGTTAACACAGATCTCCTAGAAAGACCCCAAACTCTGGACTGGATTAACTGTATTAAACAAAAGGAAAACATCCACAGCTGATAGAAATGACTTGTGTGAAACGTTTGCACAACCCTTTAATTTGTCTAGTGCTTACTATGTCCTTACTGTCTTACACGTCAATGACTGGTCATGGGCACGAAAAGACCTGCACACAAGAATAAAATGAATGAAGAGAACTTTCTTTTAAAAATGCTGCTTTTTTGAACATTATTTCAACAAGGCATTTAAAAGAAAGTGTAAGAAGTGCGGATGCAGAGTGCAGCAGGATTTGTTATCCATAGTTAAATCCCACATTCATGCTGTAATATTGTTGCCTGTTCATATTGACAGCTGTATTCTGTTGTCCATTGTTTTAATTGATTGAAATATAGTATAATATAGTCATTTGACCACAAGTTGTGTTGTTTGGTGGAAATATTTGCTTTTGTTGAATGGTGTAACAAATGAGAATAACTGTAATCAGTGCAACCTATGGAGACTAGGCAAGCAAACAAATCCTATACATATATAAAGAATATAACTTCCAATAATAAATGAACAATAAATATGTACTTTGGTTAAAACGGAGCTGTCCTTCAAGGAATAATCTACTTTTCCCTGTAATTAGTACCAAATGACAGAGTTCTTAACA